TAGGAATTTGAAAATTCTCATCTTGGGTATAACAATAACGCAAAATTCATTCAAATGAAATTTGCTCAATAAAGAAGTATTTCCACAGACTTTCATTTCTTTACTAGTTTATTTATAGTTTTCTTCCACTATTACTTAAAAATACATCGTCATAGTTTTTATTTTTATTTTTTTGAATCAACCGAAGTTGTTTAGCTGGCCAGCAACTGAACCACTCTGAGGCAATTTAGAGAGTGCCGCATTAAGTGGGAGGGGATGGGAGCTTTTAAAGTTTAAGCCCAAAAGGTAAAGTCCTTGACAGGATTTACTCAAATACAAGCTGTCACATGTTTGTTCTTGTAGGTGGGCAGGCAAGCAGTTCAATCAATTTAAATTTATTTTTAATTTTTAAAACATTTCATTCATTGTTTTTGTTTTATGTGTATGAGTGTATTGCCTGCATGTAGGTAAGTGCACCCGTGTTGCGCAATGCCCTCTGAAGATAGAAGAGGCTGTCGGATCCCCTGGAACTGGAGTTAGGGAGAGATGTTAGCTGTCATGTGGGTGCTGGGATTCGAACCTGGCTCTTCTGCAAGACAAACCAGTGTTCTTCACCGCTCAGCCATCTCTCCAGCCCAGAATAAATTTTGAATGGTTATTTTAAATGATGCTGGCTTTGGAACCCATAATATAATGTTTTCTAGAATAATATGACATTTTTACATTCTTACTTCATCTAAGTAACAGTCATTGAAATCCTGTTTATCTATGAAATAATTCAGCTCTTGAGGCTTTTGTCCCTTGATATTGAGAAAATTTACTGTAGTTTAAAGTGGTGGACTGATGTTGAAAATTGTTATTATATCAGAATCAATTTTAAGCTTTCTTTTTACTTGGATTTTCTATTATAAAATTTGAAACTGTAATATTACCTACAAAAAATTGCAGTTGTTCTCTAAGCAAATTTCTTTCTACTAATATGTACTGATCATTTTATCTCTTCTGCCTACAATTCCTTGCAGCCTGCTTTATGTTCTATGGGAATTGATATTCCACCATCTTCATATATTCTTTTAGCTGTTCATTTGTTTGGTTTTTGTTTCTGAATGTCATTACAGTATAGTGTATTTCTTGGTCCTAAGAGATACGTGAATCTTACTTTGAACTCACTCTTCTTGACTCTCTCTTTTAATTGGTGACCTGAGACAATTTTCATTTAATATTATTGTGGGAGGATTTTTTAATTCAAGATGATTTTGTTGGTGTTCTGGCTGTTAGAATCATTAATTAGTATTAATCTTTATTAGTATTGAGTTCTACTTTGTTTCCTGTATTGCTAATGGTGGATTCCTTCTGGAACATGGTGCATTCATCAATTACTCTTTACAGTAGTATTCTGACTTCTTTTCCCATGAACGAGAGTGTCTTTCTCCTCTGTGTATCTTGTTTACTTCCGTAAATCTGAAGTGATGGTTTTCTTGACATGAATTGGTAAATTTCTTCAAATGAACTTCTTCCCCCATCAATTTCTTTTAATGAAAATCAACTCAATTTTTTATTGTTCTAGTGCCATTTGATGAAAATAGAATCCTGTGGTTGAAAGAATAAATAGAAAAGTTAATGCAAGTTATATTTTGAGTTCTATGCACTAAAATCAAGTTTTAATAGTACAAAGCAAATTAAAATGCATAAGAACTTTTGGGCAATCTAGCACACTCCATCCTTGGCTGCTGTCTAGTATTTGCTTCATGTTGTGGCTCATCTTATGGTATAGTTACTGATAAGTAGAGAATGTTCTTAAATTTTTCTTGTTAGTTGTACCAATTATTTTAAACTATGCCAAAGAAAAGAAGGCAGAGAGGAAAGATCTGTGAAGATGAAACAACCGTCTGCCCTCTCTCCTTCTTTTATAGAGGGGCACTGATGTGACTATTTCTGACCCAGACTCTCCCTCCAGATGCACTGAGCTGTTCCATGGTGAGGAGTGAGTGTGGGTACTCCTCCATTAATTTTAAGAGATACCTTTTCTACAAGTCAACTTTAATTAATATGTTCACATTCAATATGATAAATGTATTTTTACACTGTTTCATGCTGTTTTGCCTCTGGTCATCCTTGAAAAGAGAACTGTTATTGTTACAAATTTCCTGCCTTTTAATTAGTTGGTATTTTTTCTCCACAGATTAAGTATAGACTTTTATGCTTACTCTTTTTCTCATGTTGCCTATAGCTTGTTATGCAATGCTTAGTTAATACTCATTTCAACTTTCTAAATGACTCTCTTATGATTGTATATCCATGTATTGCTGTATTTTTCATATATTTTCTAATTTTATTGAATAAATTTTGTCATTTAGTTTTGATTTCATCTCCCTCTTTTACTCCATAGATTTTTATTTTTGTTCATTTGAATGTTTCTCAATGTTGGAAATTTTATCCATGAATATTACATGTTCTTTATACGGATCTGTGAGTATATGATTGTCTCAGCCTTATACACCATATTGAAATGTTTTCTTTTTTGCTTTGCCTGAAGAACTCAACTATTAGAAGACATGAAAGGATGTATAATGTAGAGAAACCCTGCAAATGTGAAGAATGTGATATGTACAATACCCATATCTCAAATCTTAGAAAACATAAATATATTCATACTGGAGAGAAACCCTCCAGATGTGAAGAATGTGACAGATCCTTTCCTTGGATGACAAGCTTCAAATTACATCAGAGAGGTCATCCTGGAGAGAAACCCTACAGATGTGAAGAATGTGGAAAGTCCTTTGATCAAATGTCAAGTCTTCTAGCACATAAGCGAATACATACAGGCGAGAAACCCTACAGATGTGAAGAATGTGGCAAGTCCTTTAATCAAAAGGCCCATCTGAGAGTACATCAGCGAATTCATACTAGAGAGAAACCCTACAAATGTGAGGAATGTGGCAAGTCCTTTAGTCAAAAGTCAACTCTTAGAACACATCAGCAAATACATACTGGAGAGAAACCCTACAGATGTGAAGAATGTGGCAAGTCCTTTAGGCAGATGTCAAACCTGAGAGTATATCAGCAAATACATACTGGAGAAAAATCCTACAGATGTGAGGAATGTGACAAGTCCTTTAGATATTTGTCAGAACTTAGAGTACATCAGCGAATATATACTGGAGAGAAATACTACAAATGTGAAGAATGTGGCAATTCCTTTAGTCAAATATCAAACCTGAGAGTACATCAGCAAATACATACTGGAGAGAAACCCTACAGATATGAAGAATGTAGTAAGTCCTTTAGTCAAATTTCACATCTGAGAGCACATCAGCAAATACATGCCGGAGAGAAATACTGCAAATGTGAAGAATGTGGAAAGTCCTTTATGATTAGCTCAACTTATAAACAACATAACAGAATTCATATTGGAGAGAATCCCTGTAAATGTGAGAAATGTAAGAAGTCCTTTAAAAATATGTCTTAGATTAGAGCACATCATGTAATTCATACTTGTGAGAAACCCTACAAATGTGAAGCATATGACAAGTCCTTTTGTCAGATTTAATGTTTCATAGTGTAAAGTAACCATTCTGATGAGAAGAATGAAAAACTGAGACCTCAGCACATACAAGACATGAGAGAATCGATACTAGAGAGAAACTCCACAAATGAAAAGGTTTTGAGAGGTCCTGTACTTGTATATAAATTCTTAGAGAACATCAAAGAATTTACAATAAAGGGAGACACTACACATGTAAAGAATGTACCAATTCCTTTAATAATATGTCAAATGGTAGCAGTTATCAAAAACTCATACTGAAGAGATAATTTACAGTTGCCCAGAATATGATACATCATTTACTTTTGTCTCAATCCTTAGAATGCAAAGCAGAATCCATGCTAGGGGCATATATCTAAAAGTATGGAGAATGCTCAAATGCTTATATTTATATATTACAAAACTTCATAGTGTACTGAAGGAAAAGTTAGAATTGCACACAAAATTAGCACAAAATTGGAAAATTGCTAATAAAAATTTATTCTTAATTCATAAGTATGAGAAACTAGAAACATAATTACTATGAGTAAGCCTTTATTTTCCCTTCCAGTCTTATTGAATATCACAGAATCTTTATCGTAGAGGAAAACCTACAGATAAACAAAACACATTAGCCACAATTTACAAATGGCTCCTGTCTTAGGAAACATCCAAAATTTCTTAGTGAATAGGAACCTCACAACATTCAAAGACTAATCCTCATTCTTTTCTGTCAAAGAATACACTGTGTGACTAAAGCAGTGTGCTGGATATCTTTAGTGTCAGCTTGAAGTACCTGAAATAGGAGCCTCAATTTGGTAATTGCCTCCATTTGGCTGTCCAGTGGCCATATCTGCGGAGTAATTTTCTTAATTGTTAAGTGATTTGGGAGGACCCAGCACACTGTGGGTTGAGCCATTCCTGGGCTGGTGGTCCTGTAATGTATACGAAAGCAGTGTGGGCAGGGCCCAGGGGAGGAAGGGAGTAAGCAGCATTCCTGCATTCCCCCATGGCCAGTGCTCCAGCCTCTGCCTCCAGGTTCCTGCCCTAAGTTCCTACCTTGGACTCCCTGATGAACCCGAGGAGATGTAAGCCAAATAAACCCTTTGGTTCTGGCTTTGATATTGGTCGGAGTGTTTTGTCTCAGCAATGGAGAAACAAACTAGAACAAGATCCTAAGTATCACTGAGTTGCCACATATTCTCTAAATATCTTGTGAATATGTGAAAGTGTTAATTCATAAATATGCTACTTGGAAAATCCTAAAGTGTATGAAGTAATTGTATCTTAATATGCATATGAAGGGGGAAAAGAATTATGCAAATATCTCTTTAAAGGTGGAAATTCCATAATAAAAAGGCCAGGACACAGTATAGTCCCTATAATATGACAAGCTAGAATATTATAGGACAAGTTTTAAAAATTTGTATAAATTATTTCTATATTTTCATCAAATCGTATATGATATTTTGATAGATATAACTGTTTTATTTAGAAACATTTGTGTTCCCAAAATTGGCAGCATAGTCTAGTTTGACCTTCAACTAAATTCATATTTTCCCTAAGTGTGGTGACTCATGCCCATAATCCCAGTACTCAGAGGTAGAAGCAGGCATATCTCTGTGAGTTCAATGCCAGGGTGGTGTTCCTTGTGAGTTCCAGGTCACCTGGGGCAACAAGGAGACCCTGTTACAAAAAAGACCCCCCAAAATCATATTTTCTAATTTATAAAGGATATTATGAAAATTTATAGCCATTGTTGACTCAGAGTTGAAGGGATGTATTTTTGTTCAATGTACTAGGAATGGTTCATTAGTGCCAATTGTTCCATGAATAATTCATAGACAAGGAAAATGCATCACAGTAGATGTATTTCTTTTTAATGAGTGAGAATGCTTTTTAGTGTTATGTATATTTGGCATATTTCTACCATAGGAAAAGAAAGGAGAATCCTTAGTATTCCAAAGGAATAATTTCCAATGACTCACAGGTGAGAATAATCTGCAAAGTATATTAATTTAGTGATAAATAACAGAATAAAACAGATGTTTTCAGTATTACCTAATGTAGTTAAAACCATGGGAGGGAAATTTAAAACTTATCTCCCAAGATTTTTTATTTTAACATTTTACTATCCTGTTACATTTTAGCCTAGTCTTTGAAAATTGCAAATAATGATAAAAATTGAAGACACTGTCCCCTTTAGTCCCAGGACTCAGGAGGCAGAGGAAGGCAGATCTCTGTGAGTTCAAGGCCAGCCAGGTCTATATAGTGATTTCCAGGCCTGCTGGAACCACAGGGAGACTCTGTTTCAAAAAAAAATTGAAAACATTTTATGCCAAGTCAAACTATTAATGATGGGGCAAAAAAGACATTATGTAAGATATGACTATAAATTATTATATTTATAAAATACATGAATACACAAAACTATATATACATATGTAGAGAGAAGCAGAATCATATCTACAGGAAACGTAGTTTGTTCCCAGTATTGTGGCTTTTTAAAGACTGTACACTATTTGTTAGTTTAATATGGATATGTAGAGAGAAGCAGAGAATCATATCTACAGGAAATGTAGTTTGTTCCCAGTATTGTGGCTTTTTGAAGACTACACTATTTGTTCGTTTAATGTGGAAATAAATTCAATGTGTCTTGCTTTCTAAGGGTTATGAGATAATTTGTTTCAATAGTTGCTGCATGAGAAATGATGAATCAGCATTACATTATCAAGGAATTATTAATATTGGTTGCACAGTGAATTAGTCATGTCACATGCAAAATTCATGAAGGACATCAAAATGTTGAATTGCTTTATTTATTGAGTGCACTAAGAATGCAGCTCAGTATAAGCCAGCAGTGCTGATCTTCAGTCACCTGCTAATTCAAAACAACCAATCCTGAATTCTTGAAATGAAAAAGCATTTTGATTAATAAGATGATTACATGGAAGACCAGTGGATTGCTAATATTTTATTAAATTAAAATTTTAAATATTTTGTATGTATTGTTGAATGTTATTAATAAAATTTTTCTGTAAAGCTAAATAGAAAGATAAGTCACAGTAATCATAAAAGTTATATTTACATGTTCATTCATTCATGACAATAACTAATTTTAGTGTTGCTCTTTGAAAACTTTGAGTAATGACTTCCAAATTTTATATTAATTTAAAGGAATCCTGTTTCATTTTGAAATTTTTAATGCTGCATATAAGTTCATATTTTAATAAATCAATCATGTGTTTAATGATTTAACAAAGAAATTCTATGAAAATATACTATCTTACTTCCAAATAGATACTCTCATATCTTTCCCCCTACACTAAGTGAAGGCTAATACAAGGATAATTTTTCAATTTTGGGTAAATCTGTCAATTTGTTTTTCCTGGGGATCTTTGGGACTTACTTTGGGGATCTTTGGGACATATTGTCAAATAATTTGCATGATCTATTTATTGGAGATTATATGATATATTAGAAACATAATGATAAATATAATGAAGATTACCTGGCCTTGTCATTTTAATCCTAATTTATGACTACTGGCTGACGTATTTAAAAATTATCCTTGTATTA